TTAGTAAGATACATCAGTAGCTTAACAATTATGATGTTATAATCCACACTATTAACAAAAAGCTGAGGAAAAATGATTTTTCTGAAAGTGTGAAGCATGCATGTTCCAAGATCGAGTTTCCTTTTTAATTTAGAAATATACAGGGTTATTCACTAAAATGAGAATTCAGAGTGAATTTCAAATACAAGGTAAAAATAGCCAAATATTGAAATATCCCTCTAATTCAGTTACTTTGGTCTTAATTTGAAATAAACTTTGAATTCACTTTCAAATCTCAATCTAGTGAATAACTGTGATAGATTCTTTAACTCTTTCTGTAAAATGTAACTTTTTTATTTAGCAATTGTAATCAATATGCAAACAAAGAAACATACATTAAAATGATTCCTTTTTGGGGCAGAGCCAAGCAGCCCAGATGTGTTCAGCACAAGCTCCCATGTCTGGGGACAAAAACTAGGGTGCTATACCCAGTAATCGGCACTCACAGGCCGCAAGCTACAATATTCTCACCCGGGAGAGGTTGCTACATAAGACAGTTGGACTGACACCCTGAGGCTTGCGGCCTACACGAGACTGAGTCACAGAGAGACAGACGCTCTCCGAGCTCTTAAGCAGAAGTTGGGACCCCTGTGAAATCACCTCTCCTCTCCCTCCGGACCTGCGGGTGTCATCCCGGTCCACACAAAGCAGTTCCACTTACCTTGCTGATTGCAGGTAACTAATATTGCACAAAACTGAGACCCAGCACTCCTACTCAAAATGGCGGACACGCCCCCTTCAAGCAACACACAGCAGAAGTCTTTCGAGCAAGACGAGTACACCACGCTAGATCGTATGCTACAGCACCTTGATGAGATATTCGTCGTTTCTGGGAGCGGTTGGAGGTACATGCAGCTCTGGCAGCTGGGGGACAGAGTAGCAATCTGAGGCAAGCAGGAGATGGGGTGCATGAGGCCCTGTCGGGCACAACCTCCCACCAAGCATCCAAGCCCCACACACCAAGCCCACATAGGCAGAGAGCTAAAAGGGATTCCCTCCCAAAGCATCCCCCAAAGAGGCAGAAGCGCAGACCCCACAAGAGACGACCGACTACCCAGAGCTTCTGTCACCTCCTAGAGAGGAAGGGCTTGGACTCAGAGGAGAGACCCCAGGTGTGGGGTACAAAGATGCAGGCCCTCAGCGAGCCCAGGGGCAGGCGGGATGACAAATGTAACCCCTACCCAGAATTGCCTCTGGTATGCACTTGGGCGACCCTTGCAGCCTCCCGAGACTTTCTCGCTATACCGAGCCAAGGCATTGGCTGACATTGCCCTAAGGTCCCAAGAACATCACCCGTGTCTTCCCAGGACACAACGCTATATAATGCCTGTCTGCACCCAGATTGACAATGCCGTTTTAATTTTGGGTTTTAGTTAACTTTATGTTTTAGTTAATCTTTTAGTTGCCTGCCTCTACCTAAACACACTCTATGATAAAGTGAGGCATTCCAGAGGTTAAACCCACTATTAGCCAGCTCTATTATAGCCTGCTAGCATGTTATATGTTCAAATCAGCATAACAAAAGCCTAGCATAGTCTTCACACTTAAGACCATGTTTAAATAACTCTTGCTAACAAAATCTTGATTGATTCCTCTCTACACAAGTTCACGCAAAAGTTCAGTATGTTTCTTATCTTTATGCATATTTACTACAATATAAAATTGTGCACGTTCATTCTACTACCCCAATTGTAATGCTTGTTATGATGCCAGAGGATCGCCGTTGGCGTACCGCAGGCTTTTATGCTTATATGTTTAAGGCAAATAATTTTTTTTTTTTTACTGTTAGAACAATAAGGATGTGGAATTCTCTGCCTAATGAAGTGGTTTTATCACAGTCCATACAGATGTTCAAACAGCTACTAGATGCATACTTGTAAAAACAGAATATTCAACTATATAATTTTTCAATGTAGGGTAATAGCTTCTTTATCCAAGGATAAATCTGACTGCCATTCTGGGGTCAAGAAGGATTTTTTTTCCCCCTAGCTGTTGCAAAATTAGAAGTGCTGCAAATTATTATTTTTTTGCCTTCTTTTGGATCAACTGCAGAAAACAAATGTGAGGAAGGATGTACTTGATGGACGTAAGTCTCTTTTCAGCTATGTAACTATGTAACTATGTACATATCTTATGCACTGCAAAAATATTAAATAAAATAAAAAATTTAAAAAAAAAATTATTCCTCTTTAAATGTCATAGGAAAGTTCAAAACATTCCTTGATAGATTTTCTTTTTAGTTCATAAATGTAAAAACATTTTGCTTGTTTTCAGCCATGAACCTCCAGAACAAAACAGGAAATTCAAGAACAAACTTAACAGTAACATACCCACCCACTTGTATATTATACAGCATCCCAAAGATTGTAACGCAGGAAACAGAGGACTAATCGCAGACAGTGATAATAGCCAGTGCGGATAGCCTCTATAGACACATTGATAACTGGCCAGGTGGAGACTCTATGGGGAGTCTTAGAGTTGGAGATACAGTGTTTGGGTTGGTCTTACGGATCCTTAAGAAAATAGTTAGCTAGCATGTAGCGGATTTGCAGATAAACAGCAATAAAGAATTTGTGTATGTTATTTTCTGTTGTCTATTGAGAAAACTTGTACTGGGGCAGAATAGCAAAGGACGGAGGAGGGAGGCTGAAATATTGGAAGGATATGAATATAGGTACAATGGCAAAAGGGGGAAAGGTGTGCACAATAAACTGAATGCATTTGAAAATGCTTGTATATTATAATTCTTGCAGGTAGGTTAAGAAAGGAGAGAACAAAAAACAAAAGCCCTTTAGAACTTTACATTCTAGGGAGAGAAAGAGGTGGGGGGAGAAAGTCGACAAAGAGAGAGATAGAAAGAGGGAGATACAGATTGAGTGAGTGAGTGAGTGAGTGAGAGAAGGTGTTATCATGACTGATATTCTCTACAACTGAAGGGTGTTTATTATTCTTCATACAACAAGAAAAGGTAACTACTAAATGTACAGAAAGATTAAATTGTGACAAGAGTGGTCTAGTGAAGCTATAGTTGTGAGTTTGTGCAATGAAGTAAGACTGAGGAAGGGGTGAATATTAAAGCCGAATAAGTAACTGGCTCTAGTAACTTTCCAAAGAAAAGACTTAAAAAGTAGTAATAATATCTGATTATGGAATAAATAAATATAAATGGAAGAGGCGAGTTATAAGGAAAAATCAAAAAATGAAAAGGTTTATTTCTTCCCCTTATATACATTACTTGTTTTCCATTTTCTTTACTCCATTACTGAATTTTTGGTGTACTACTCAACTATTAGCCGCTATCTTTGTCCTACAGACAGGGCCGGATTAACATAGGGGCTGATGGAGCTGCAGCTCCAGGCCCAGGCCCATGGAATAGGCCCATTGATTTATAAAAAAATAAAAAAAATAAAAATTTTTTTTTTTTTTTTTACATTTTTTTTTTCACACACTACTCTTAGGGATTCCACCTGGCTTTTATTTTATTAGCACAGCCAGTATTTGGGGCTGCCTGGCTGGTGCCAATATTGCAGTGATACTGGCAATACAACTGCTGGTATTTTTCTCAGTATAAACAAGAGATTACTATGCAATACCAGCACTGGCCAGCAGGGGTCGCTGTATGTGGAGACAGGCAGGGATAGGAAGTTCCAGCATATCCCTCCCTGCCTATCTATACTCACTGATCTGCAGGGGTGCAGCTACAGAGTCCAGACAGCAACTCCCACCCTGCAGAGACAGCCTACAGCTCAGGGAAGTAAGGGATGGGGGAAAGGCTGCAAGGAGACATGGGGACACTGAGACACTAAGGGACATTGGGAGACATTATAGCAGACACTGAGACACTAAGGGACACTGGGAGACATTATGGCAGACACTGAGACACTAAGGGACATTGGGAGACATTATGACACAGACACATGTGGACACAGTGTCCCCATGTCTTCCAGCCAGTGTCCCTGGTGTCTCAGTGCCCCCAGTCTGCCAGTGTCTCACTGTCCCCATGTTTCCTAGTGCCTCCATGTCTTCCAGTGCCTCAAGTGTCTCAATGTCCCCATATCTCCAAGCTAGTGTCCCTAGTGTCTGTGGCCCTGGTGTCTCCTTGTCCCCATGTCTCCCAGTGCCCCCATGTCTCAATGTCCCCATGTCCCCCAGCCAGTGTCTCTAGTGTCTGTGTCCATGGTGTCTGTGTCCCCATGTCTTCAAGTGTCCCCTATTTTCCCAGGGTCCCCATGCGTCCCAGCCAGAGTCCCCTAGTCTCCCAGTGTCACTGGTGTCTCCGTGTCCCTAGGTCTCCTCGTGTCCCTGGGATACATGGGGACACAGGGAGACATGGGGCATTGAGACACTGTGATACATAGGATCACTGGGAGACCTGGGGACACGACACTAGGGGACACTGGGAGACATGGGCCACTGAGACATTGATACATAGGAACACTGAGACCTGGAGTAATCGACACATGGGGGCACTGGGAGACATGGGGCCACTGGGAGGAATCCATCTATACAGCAGAATCAAACTAAGTAGTTTTTTGGTGATTTTACAGCATTTTCTCTCATGTCACTCCTTGTGATTTACATCATGTGATGTCACCCATACATATTTAATTATGCAAATTAGTAAGGCCGGTATGTTTTTTTCCAAGAAAGGTGGCAACCCTGACTACTTTTCACATACTCTTACTTAAGTATGGAAACTTAAGAGGGATGTATGGGAACAAAACTTGTGTGGACTGTCTGACAATGAATATAGTTAAAGGGACACTATAGTCACCAGAACAACTACAGCTTATTGAATTTGTTCTGGTGAGTAGAATCATTACCCTCAGGCTTTTTGCTGTAAACACTGTCTTTTCAGAGAAAATGCAGTCTTTACATTACACCTAGTGATAACTTCACTGGCCACTCCTTAGATGACTGTTAGAGATCCTTCCTGGGTCATGGCTGCCTAAAAGGCATCCAAACATTCAGTGTCTCCTCCCTCTGCATGCACTGAACTTTCCTCATAGAGATTCATTAATGAAATTCATCTATATAAGGAGATGCTGATTGTCCAGGGCTGTGTTTGAATCATACTGGCTCTGACCCTGATCTGCCTCTTTGTCAGTCTCAGCCAATCCTATGGGGAAGCACTGTGATTGGATCAGGCCACCACTTCTAATGATGTCAGCAGACTGCTTGTTTTTATGAGTCTAACAGCATGCCGAGTTACAGCTACAGGCTTGAATATAGATTTTGCTATATTTATGGAGGCATGAGGGGTCCAGGGGGGGCTAGATGGTGGTGTTAATACTATAGGGTCATGAATTCATGTTTGTGTTCCTGACCCTATAGTGATCCTTTAAGGTAATGCTGACTTTGGTCTCTCTAACACTGTGGCATGTTCCCTTTCTTCTACACTCACTACATATAGCTTTACTCTGTCCCAGACCATATACCAGGATCTTCTGCCTGATAGTAAGAAGGTAAGGAGACAAGTGGACCAGCGAGTGCTAGGGACAGTCCTTAGAAAGCGTTGAGTGAACGCATCATTAGATGCATTTATGCCAAGCTCAGGGTGTTGTCTGCATAGTATGCCCTTAGTTGGCCAGCTGCATGATTGGCAGGCAGCCTGACATGCATTCATGTCAGGCTGGCCTTCTAATTCTTTGAGCAGAAATGTCCTCTTTTTGGGCATGTTTGCCCATTTTGGCAGGTTATGTGATTTGTGTCAGTGGCAAACCCTTTTACCGTCCCCATTGACTTCCTGCTTGATTGGACGTTGCTGTTAGGGGTTATGGATTTACTTGAAAGCTGAAAACATAAATTAGAGAGAGATTAGCCTAGGGTATGTGTTTTCTTATAGCTGCTGTTTTCTTTCTCTCCAGCACCATCTCCATCAGATACATGATGCTTATGAGTGTTTTACTGTTTTTGGTCTATATGATTCTGTAATTAGGCCCGTCAGAATTGTCAGCACCAGGCCCACTGGGCTCTTAATCTGGCCCTGCCTGGCACACCACGCTGACCCGATATCTCAAAAAAATTTCTAGAACTGCTGAACGCTGTTGGAGACTCAGGCCCAGAGGAGGCGGGCTAAAAGCTAGCCGGATAGGAGGCATGTGTGGGTGTGGTGGGTGTGGTGGAAGTATGGGGGTGTGATCTAGCTAAGGAGTAGGGTGGGGTCATATAAATAGGTGACATTTTGTCTGCTACCTCAGCCATCTTAAATTTAACGGCAAGGTAACTAGTCCTGTTCCTCACTGTGCTAGCCTTTAGTTATTTTGCTTACCTCACGGCCAGGAGCATGGATATTGAAGGCATCCTTGCTGCCCTTAGGGCTGAGGCCCTCCAGGACGGTGGCAGGCACCTGCAGGCCCAGCTGGCAAGGCTGCAGGGTGCCTCCGTGGTAGCTGCTCCCCCTCCCAGCAGCCATGGAGCTCCGCGTCGGCGGGCGCGTCCCCCCACCCGTTATAGCCCCACACAGGAGGGCCGGGTGGGGGCCAGAAGCAGGAGCCCAGCTGCCGGTCCGCGGGCCGGTTCCCACGCGGCCGCGGCCGGCACTGTCATCATTCATCCTCCTGTCTCCTCCCCGAGCCCCTCACAGGAAGGCTGGGTGGGGGTTGGAGGCAGGAGCACAGCTGCCGGTCCGCGGGCCGGTTCCCACGCGGCCGCGGCCGGCGCTGCCATCAGGCATCCTCCTGTCTCCTCCGAGAGGGCCGGGAGTGGGAGCCCCAGTGCCGGCACGCGCGCCAGGTCCCACGCGGCCGCCGCCGGCACATCTCTTCAGCAGCCTCTCTCCTCCTCACCGAGGGGGGCCGCCCAGGACTCCCAGTCATCGTCTCGCGGGCCCTCAGAAGGGCGGCCGCGAGATCACGGTCGGCTAATCCAGCCCTGCCGGCGCGTGCCGGGCACCTGATGTGCGCTCTGCCCCCAGCGGAGCAGGCCGGGTGGGGGCTGGAGGCAGGAGTCAAGCTGCCGGTCCGCGGGCCGGTTTCCACGCGGCCGCGGCCGGCTCAGCCATCAGGCATCCTCCTGTCTCCTCCGAGAGGGCCGGGAGTGGGAGCCCCAGTGCCGGCACGCGCGCCAGGTCCCACGCGGCGGCCGCCGGCACATCTCTTCAGCAGCCTCTCTCCTCCTCACCGAGGGGGGCCGCCCAGGACTCCCAGTCATCGTCTCGCGGGCCCTCAGAAGGGCGGCCGCGAGATCACGGTCGGCTAATCCAGCCCGGCCGGCGCGTGCCGGGCACCTGATGTGCGCTCTGCCCCCAGCGGATCTCGGGCAGAGCGCGCACAGGTTGGGCCTGCAGCCACCCCTTCTTCAAATGCGGTAAGTAGGCCACAGGCCACCGGGGATTTCGGGCGGGGGTTCGGGGGGTAGGGGCCCAGAGCCAGGCCCATCTTTCACCTCACACAGCCCCCCCCCTTCTCCTCCTCCCCCCTCTGTCTCCCCTGCCTTTCCTGCACTCCCACCACCCTCATCCATCCAGCCTACCCACTTGTATTCTCTCCCCCCCCTCCCACCTTTACCTAGGGCCCATGCTAACCCCTCTGGGGCTACTTCAGGCATGGCTATCCCACTCCCTGGTTCCCCTGTCCCACTCTCTGGTTCCCCTGTCCTATCTACTAATATGCCAGGGTTGCCCCCCCCTACTGCGCATCTTCCAGCACCTGGGACGGGTGGGTCGGGTTTTTTCTCACCTGTCCTGTCTTCCCAGATTCTTCCAGGTCAGCTCGCTAACCGGTTCCCTGACGCTGTGTCTGGTGTGGTGCTTCCTGCAGTCGCAGTTCCCTCGGGCCCGTCGCAGGCTGGTGCGCAAGTCGCGGTTCCGCTCCTACCCTCGAATTCGGCTCCTGCCGATGAGTATTCTGCTTTCGCCGGATCAGAATCCGGGGGCGCTGGCGCACGCGAGTCGCAAGAATGGGGTTCGGTGCTCCAAGCTATAAGGAATACTCTTGTAACTCTTGAGTGGGGATCTCGCCCTGGGGCTCCCCCCCCAACGGCCGTGGATAGCCAGCTTCGGGCGGGCTGGGCTAGTTCCGCAGGGTGTGAGGTTGCGGGGGTTGCAGCGTCGGTACCCGACACTTCTACACAGGTCACCACCCCCCTGGCTTCGGCACCACCGCTAGTGACATCTGAGTCCTCAGTGAGTCCTACGGGGGACACCGCGGTTGTCTCGGGTTTAGGGGTAGCACCCGCTGCGCATGGGGCAGCGTACATGTGCTGGTCAAGCCCCCTGGGCCTTCACCTGACGCCTGATTTGAGGGCTAAAATAGAAAAAGGAGATACGGTGGATACGGATGCTAAAGAGTCTGAAAAAGACAAAGAGAAGTTTCGGTATCGGAAGATTCCGAAAACTTTTGGTAACTGGATTAGGGCTTTTTCTATCCTAGCTAGCGTGATAGGTGAAAAGACTCCCAGTAAATGCTCTTCCCTGTTTTGCTACCAGGACATGATATGGAACGCTTGTCGGGTTTATGGCGGCCTAGGGTGGTGGCGGTATGATGAACAGTTCCGCCAATGTTTGGCGGTTCGCCCTTCCACGAGTTGGGATCAAATGGACATCGGCTTGTGGTTGGCCATCATGACCCGCCCAGCTTCGCATCAAGGGGGCCTTTCGTCCTTTCTTGGGGTGGCCGGCGCTGGGTCCTCATCTTCAGCGTCGGCCACTCAGCGGAAGCCTGGGTACTGTTGGCAATATAACGACGGCCAATGTAAGTTCGGTTCCGCCTGCCGCTTCAAGCATGAATGTTCCGGGTGCGGCGGTTCCCACCCAGCATCGAAATGCTTTAAACGAGGCAGGACCGGCGACAAAGGAGATGCCATGGGCGCTAAGGGCGATGACGCCGGTGGACGTAGACGCGATGCGCCCTTGGCTAAAGCGTTATAGCAATAAGAAGGCGGCTGCCTTGTTATTGGAGGGTTTTGGACAAGGGTTTTGGATCCCTCACTGGGCCCGGCAGGTCTCTGGCTTCTGCCGGAACCTGAGATCAGTTGCCGATCACCCGGGGGTGGTAAGGGAAAAATTGGCTAAGGAAGTAGCGTTGGGTCGCATGGCGGGCCCCTTTCGGGAACCTCCACTTCTCGATTTGAGGGTTTCACCACTGGGAGTGGTGCCCAAAAGGGAACCAGGCAAGTTTAGGCTGATTCACCATTTATCGCCCCCACAGGGGGGCTCGGTGAAGGATGACATTGCCGCTGAATTGTGCCGCGTTTCCTACGCGTCCTTTGACGCGGCGGTGGATATGGTCAGGGCTGCTGGCCCCGGGGCACTTATGGCAAAAACTGACATTGAGTCGGCTTTTCGCCTCCTACCGGTTCACCCGGAGTGCCACCACCTCCTGGGTTGTATATTCGAAGGTCATTATTACGTGGACATGTGCCTCCCGATGGGTTGTGCGATATCCTGTTTTTATTTCGAATGTTTTAGTTCCTTCATGGAATGGGTAGTTAGAGCGGAATCCGGTTACGATTCCTTGCTTCACTACCTAGACGACTTTTTCTGTGTTGGCCCTGCGCGCTCCCCGACATGCGCGCAACTCCTGCAAGCAGTAGCGGATGTTGCTTGCGAGTTCGGAGTGCCGCTGGCACCAGACAAAACAATTGGCCCTTCTACGTGCCTGTGCTTTCTCGGGATCGAGATTGATTCCGTTGTTGGTGAATGTCGGCTTCCATTGGATAAATTGGCTGATCTTCGGGAGGTGGTGCGAGTGGCGACCGCTTTGCGGAAGATTACGTTGCAACGACTTCAATCCCTATTGGGCAAATTGAACTTTGCCTGTCGGATTATGCCGATGGGCAGGGTGTTCAACCGGCGCCTGGCGGCCGCTACGGCTGGGATTTTGAAACCATCTCACTTCGTCCGCTTGACAAAGGCGCTCAAGGTGGACTTGGCAGTATGGGCAGTCTTTTTGGATGGGTACAACGGCAGGTCCTACTGGCAGCAGCCCGAGGTGACGAACTCGGTGCTGCACCTGTTTACGGATGCCGCGGGGTCTTCGGGATTTGGGGCTATTATGGGAAGGCAATGGTGTGCGGAGCCTTGGCCCGAATCATGGTTCACCTCTGGCCTGACCAAGAACATGGCTTTCTTGGAACTCTTCCCCATTGTGGTGGCTATCCATCTTTGGGGGCCAGAGATCAAGAACAGGCGTGTTGTGTTCCACTGTGACAACCTGGGCGTCGTCCAGGCCATTAATAGGCTAACGGCCTCCTCCCCTCCGGTAGTTCGGCTCTTGCGGCGCTTGGTTTTACAATGCCTGTCTTTTAATGTGACTTGCCGCGCTGTGCATATCCCTGGTGTGGAGAATACCACGGCTGATGCTCTTTCTCGTTTCCACTGGCAGGTGTTTCGTTTGGCCGCGCCGGAAGCGGATACGGAAGGCCTCCCCTGTCCCAGAGAGTTATGGTCCCTTGGCCTGAGCGGATAAGGGAATGGATTCGGTCTTCGGTGTCTGAGGCAACTTGGGTTCGGTACGGTAAGGCATGGGGGGACTGGGTCGCTTTAGAACAAGACCTAGGTGGGTTTGCTTCGACCTCTGCAAGGGTTCAAGGGATCTTACGGTTGCTCTGGTTCTGGGAGGCTAGCGGGTGTTCTCCGGCTACGGTTGCAGGGAAGCTATCTGGTCTTAGTTTCTGGTTCAACTTGACTAAGGTGCCTGACGTTACCAAGGACTGCATGGTTCGGCTTGCGATGCGCGGCTGGCGCAAGGGCCCACACCTGCGGGATTCTCGGAGGCCGGTTTCTGGCGCTCTGCTAGTAGGTATTGCGTCGGTCTTACCCAGGGTTTGTTTTTCCGATTTGGAGGCACGTTTGTTCCAGTTGGCTTTTACTTTCGCCTTTATTGGCGCCCTTCGAATCGGTGAGCTTGTGAGCCCTAGCAAACGGATCCCAGGGGGCTTGTTGTTCAACGATGTGTCCGTGGTGTCGGATTCAGTGCGTTTTTTGGTACGGAGGTCCAAAACCGACATCTTCGGCAAGGGGGCATGGGTTACCCTCCGCGCTATTCCGGGTT